CGCGGAGCGGCTGCGCCCGTGAGCCATGGCCGCTGAGCCTGTGCGTCCGGAGCCTGTGCTCCGCAACAGGAGAGGCCACAACAGTGAGAGGCCCGCATACCGCAAAAAAAAAAAAAAAAAAAGTATAGGGCTGTAAGAATTCATAGAAGTAGGGGACTAATAAAGAAGTCTCTTAGGAAGTGAAACTTGAGGTGGATTTTGAAAGATGGATGGCCCATGAGAAGGTGAAAGGATGTTGGCATTCCAAGAAGTAGTAACAGCCTGGGACAATGTCTGGAAATGGAAATGGGTGTGTGTGTTTTACTCTTTACTTTTGGGTTTGGGGGAGGGGGTTGGGAAGGGGAAGGGTTTGAAGTGGGTATTTAAAATACGATTATAGCATACAATATATATTATAATATAACCTATAGAGTTACTCATAAATGTGCACTAAGATGTATTTGTAAAGATATTTCTTAATTCAAATAGCAAGCTTTTGTGAAGTAATTTAAATTCCATCAGCAAGGGAGTGGTTAAATAATTAATGGTGCCTTCACATCATGGAATGTTAGGAAGCAGTTGGAAAAAAGTAGATCTTTGTGTGCTGACATAGAAAGACCACCATGGAAAGACAGAACAGTGTATTAATGGTGAAAATGGATTCATGTAGGATTTGTCAACTTTGAAAACTGATTTTAAAAAGTCAAAGTGGTATTTCAGGAAACTTACTGGGGTGACACTGTGTCAAACTGAAAGTGAACAGGGATGTTGGGAAATGTTTGCATGTGTACAGACATAGTAAGCCAAGGATAGAGACCTGAGTGGTAAAGAGAGAGAGAAGCCAGAGCCATTTTGCAGAACGATCGCAAAGGACTTCATGACAGATTCTTAATATAGGTGATGAAGGAGAAAGAAGAGAAAAGAGATTTCCAGGTTTAAGTTTAGGGAATAATATACTAAAGAATGATTTCTACTAACTGGAACAGACCCATGTTAACAGGAAACATTTCTTAAATCATTTATTCATTTATCTATCTACCTGTCTATTTACTTATTTATTTTTGCTTGATTTTCAGGATGGAAGAAACAGTACGAAATCTACTGCAGAGTCAAGGACCTCCAGAACAGAAAAAAGAAGACACTGTTAATATCATGGTCTATCAGGTACACCACGTGTCTTGCTCTTGGCTGGATACTGGTTGGCTTGTTTTGCTTGGATTTCTCTAGCTCTGTCCTCCCTAACCTGGAGATAAATAAAAAAGGATTGTCCAGACCCCAGTGCTGGGAGCCACACCAGTCACCTCTGTTACCAGTCACCTCTGTTTGAGGAATACTGTACACATTCATTTACTCATTCATTTCTTGTACTTTGTGAAAGGAATTGTAGGTTTGGTTGTAGGAAGGTGCAAAAAATACGTTTATAGAGATGCAGAGAGACCTATAGAAGTATCGTGGTACTCTGTGGTCAAGGCTGTAAGAGAGGCATCTACAGCATTCTCTGGAACACAGGAGAGGCGCTGACTCTTCCTGCCCAGGGAAGGTAAAGAATACTTCCCAGAGATCTGACATTTAAGGTGGACCTGAGGGGTAGAGAACAAGAGAAAGAACGTTCCAGGCAGAGGGAAGCCTAGGTAAGGGGGCAGTGGTATGAACGTGCATGGCAGGCTCCTGGAGAGTAAGAAGCTCACAGACACTGCATCATGGCTGGTGAGATGACAAGTTTGATGGTGAGATGACAAGTTTGATGGTGAGATGACAAGTTTGATGGTGAGACTGAGGGGACATGGAAGAGCTGGCCAAGGTTATGCCTGCCTTCTCAGCTCATGGGTGTGGTCTTGCTCCTCAGGCCATGTGGAGTCTACAGAGGTCCAGAGAGAGTCAGTGGTCAATGCACTACCAAGTTGTCTTTTTTTCTTTTTTTAATTAATTAACTTCTTTGGTTGCACCACATGGCACATGGGATCTTAGTTCCCCGACCAGGGATCGAACCTGCGCCCCCTGTATTGGAAGTGCGGAGTCTTAACCACTGGACTGCCAGGGAAGTCCCAACAAGTGATCTTCTGATAGCCCTTATCCCACGGTGTTTTAACATTAGTGAAGTGACCAGGCTGGGAAGCAGGGCATCTAATCTGAGCATGACCCAAGTTGGCCATACAGATGAGAAGGCTCTGACAGCAGAAGGATCCCAGGCACTCTATCTAGATCAATGTAGGACTTTCATTGAAGAGCACTGAAAGTCACAAATAGGCACCCAATGTCCACTGCACGACTATGCATAGCGGGCTTTCAAAACCTAAAGAAGGAAAGGAAGTGGGCCAAAGTTAAGGTGATCACTGGGCAGCCCTAGGTTTTGGCTAGCTAAAGAGCATGTGGGTGTGGGGAGGCAGTCCTAGGAATCCGGCTGGTAAAGATCATTTCACGCTAGCATCCCTGAATTCACGGGTTCTGGGCTCTGCAACCCCACTTGTGATGACAAAGATCGAGAGGAATCTGACAACAAAAGTCACAGTATCATATAAACTTAAGAAATCTAGATAGAATTAACCTTAAGAAGTCTATGTCCTAAATCGTTGACTCTTGAGACATCTACAGAACTACAGTATGACAGCGGGGGCAACTGTTCTTTATCTCCAGTGAAAGCAGTATAACGAGTTGACTTAAACCTCCTTGGAGGAGATAAAAGTTAGCTCCATAGCGACTTCGCTGGCTGTCCAGTGGTTAAGACTTCACCTTCCAATGCAGGGGGTGTGGGTTCAATCCCTGGTCGGGGAGCTAAGATCCCACAGGCCTCGTGTCCAAAAAACCAAAACATAAAACAGAAGCAATATTGTAACAAATTCAATACTTTAAAAATGGTCCACCTCAAAAAAAATCTTGAAAACAAAGTTAGCTCCATAACAACAGTAGAAAAACTCTCAAATCCATTTCTCAGGAAAAGGTTTAGATTCTTCTTGAGGTGGCCTTCACATAGGAAAGGCATGCCCGGCTTTTCCTGATGTGTGGTCGCCTACGGTAAGGATAAGTATTTAAGTCCTTCTAGCTCTGAATCTTTCCTAGGTATTACATTTGCTTTGGCAGAAAATTGATGTATAAGTAAAAACTCAGACTTGACTCTGCATTAAATGGTTCTGTTTAGCCTTAAAGAGTCATATGAACCTGAAATGTCAGTCTTCTGTCCCCACTCACAGGTAACACCAGGCTTTAATTAGAACTAAGTAATTCAGCATCCCTCCTGTGCTTTTTCCAGTCTCATTGTGGCTCTGTTTCACCAAGTTCTTATTTTCTTTTCATCATTCTTTGCTAATCTCTTCACACACTTGTTAGCCAAAACCATGGTATACACTCTTATCATCAGAATTCGTTTTGTGAAACCGGAAGCCTCTTAGAAAACCAGAGAGACTTCTAAAAATGTGTTTTCCAACTATTTCCTCTTAATCACCCAGTCTATTAGATTTGGGGGATCAGCTCTTCTCTCTAGAGTGGAGACAGTTACTGATGTGAATTCATGCTACATGGAAGGGATTTTTCAGCCATTGCTCTCATTGGCCTCAGGCTCATTATCTGGAAAATTGGAGAGGGATTTGGGTTACATGAACCATAAAGCGTCATTTGTACACTCAACAGCTATTTATTGAGTTTTTATTGTGGACTAGGCACAACTTAGTGCTCTGGGGATTCAAGACATGAGAACAGAGAGAAGGGTGGCACTGAGTCCCAGGGAGGTCCCTGTCACCTCAGTCATCCTAGTATTCTAAATATGGCGAATAGTAGGAAAATCGGTTGTGCAAGATGTATGTGGTGAAACCAGTGGAGTGCATAGTTAACACTCCCTGAAGCCGAATTCTTTGTTTTGGGTAAGAGCTGGGAGATTTATTACTTCATAATATGGAGGGTTATCAGCACACCTGACTCAGATTTTCCAACTATAAGATTTCTCTGACAGGAACCGGAGGCCCATGCAAAGCTGAGACCCACAGGAAAGCCGGAGTGGGTTTTATTTTCCATCATGGAAGTGTTTGTCCTGAGGCTTTTATCATGGAGTTAATAACAGTAGAGTAACAACTTTCTGAGTTCCAGGCCCGTGCTAATTGCCAAGCATGCATGTGAAGGGTGGTCGTAGTTTGTTCAAGGGGCGTGTTCCTGAAGACTTCTCAGAGTTGGTTACTTGTATCATTTAGAGCTTGTATAATTTCACCTGGACCAGCTCAAAGGTCAGTAGGTGTTTCTGTTCAGCAGCTGAGACAGACCCGCCCTGCGGCTGTCAGTGGTTTCACGGGCTTTGTTAACTGTGCACTTCTTGACTCTTTTTGTAATTTGGAGAGTTTGCATCATTTCAAGGTTTGGGCATGAAGTGACATTAATGCCATTTTTATGTGACTACAGTTTCCCATTTGTTTAGTTCAGAGTCCCATTGACTGTGACTAGACTGTAGCTCATTCGGTCCCCACAACTGTGCAGGAAGTACTGTCAGTATCCTCACGTTAGTGAGGATAGACGGGGACGTAGGCTCCCAGAGGTGACCTCTTGCCCAAAGGTGCAGCCTGGAAGTAGCTTAGAAGGGATTCGAACTGTAGTCAGTCTGACTCCATGGCCTCGACTCTTTATGCGGAGAATTTCTGGAGAGATGAGATGATGGTGCCCAAGTTATGTAGCTAGATATCATCTAAGTTGGGATTTGAACCTAGGCCTTTCCACTGGCTATTTAGAGCTCTCTCCATTCATTCATCCGTCCATTCATTTGCTCATTCATTCATTCAAATGACAGTTATTCATTTATTTTTGGACCTACGTATGTTAGATGCCTATTGCTGCTGTAACAAACTTAATGGCTTGAAACCACACAAATTTATTCTCTTATAATTGTGGAGGTCAAAAGTCTAAAATCACTGTACTGGCGGGGCTGCATTCTTCCTGGAGGCTTCAGGACAGAATTATTTCCTTGCCTTTTCTAGACCCTAGCATTCTTTGGCTTTTGGCCCTTTCCTCCATTCTCAAAATACATCACTTCAGACTCTGGTTCCATTCTCCTTTTTCGGAGTTTGACTCTCCTCCCTCCCTCTTATAAAGAGACTGTGATTATATTGGGCCCATCCCCATGATCCAGGATAATCTCCCCATCTCGAGATATTTCATTTAATCACATCTGCAAAGTCTCTGTGGCCACAGAAGGTAAGGTAACATATTCGCAGGTTTGGGGGATTCGGTAGGATGTGGACATCTAGGCGAGGGACATTCTTCTGTCTATCACACTAAGTAACGCATGAACCCAGCAGGCTGGCAGCACCTAGCCGATGCCAAGCTAAGTGCTGGAGATACAAAGAGGCCTTTTCCTGGAAAGCTCAGTTTATAGGATGCTGGAAATTGGGGAGGGAAGGCAGATAATTAATTGAATATATGCAACAATGTGATAGGAGCCCACAAAGCAGCTTGCACAAGTTCTGGGAACAGAAAGGAAGATGCCACCAAACCTACTGCACTGCTCTCTCCAGAGACTCTTCTCCTGCCTAGGACTTCCTTTCAACAGTCCTTTAACCTTTTCTTTTAGTCTCTGTTGTCATGGACTCAAGAGGCAGGCACCCCACAGCCTGCCTTTCTCAGAACATCTTATATCCCTGGTATTTTAATATAACCGTCATACTGTCACGACACATATGTTTGGTGCTTTACAGTTTTCAAAGTGCTTACACAAAATGGATCTCATTTGTTCATTTCAACAGCCTCTAAATTAGATATTAACCTGCTCGTTTTTAAGGATGAGTCTCAAAGAGGACTGTTTCAACTCTGGCAAATGCTAAGTGGTAGAACTAGAAATAAATCTCAGACTTCCCTAAGTGAGATACATAGAGTGAAACTGAGCAGTTATCAGTGGGATAATCGGATGGTGGAGCCTAACTTCCCAGCTCACAAAATCCTTGTCTCAAAATACAAAAATAAGTGAAAGGAAACTGAAATCAATTAATAAGCCATATAATGTTTGTGCCTGACATTTCTTCTATGAGAGAGACAAGCCCATGAGTAAGAGAAATATTGCCAATATACGGAGGGAAAGTGATATACGTAGCACCCAGGATAGATTCCTTTCATTATGGGAAAATAAAAGACCTCAAAGGATTGTCTGCAGAGGAGACTGAAAAAGGAGAACCGTCTTCCATTTCCCTCTTGCTCTGTTTCTTTCTCTAGCTCATTCTTCCTAGGTATTTGGGAGGTTCTTCTGTGTCATGTGATACATTCTTGAAGCCCAGGTTACCATTTCATTTAGTTGAGTAGTTAGGAAACATGTTAGAAAAAACATTCATGATTCGATATGAACGGGGGCAGTTCAGCGTAAATGAAATGGAGCAGCTAGCTGAGAGGACGATACGCCTTCAGCTTCATCTGTCAAAATATTTCAACACAGGCAACCAAAGATACAGAGAATCGTAACACTAATGACGGATTACCCATTAAAGTCCTCTTGTGTCTGTAGCTACCTTTTGTGCTGCTTTGCTGTAGCTGATAGATTTCCTCTTGTCTCTGCTTTTCTCTATGGAACATGAATTGAACCCATTAGCTTTATTTATTTAGCAAGAAAAAAGTGGACAGACAAATGGAAGCACTCACGAGGGGGAAAAAAACCTGCATGTGGTACAGCTTCTGCCACTAACGAGACTTTTGGCCTCAGACTGTCACTTAAACTCTCTGGCTTCCTCCTTTCTTTTGTATTTGTGATTGAAGAGGTTTTGGATTACTTTAGGGACCGCAAACACAAAAAACCTACAATTGCCAAATAATGTAAATGGTTAAAGTAGGCCAGGTATGAGAACAATTGTGTGTCCTCTGGGGGGTTACATTCTATTTTTCCACTTTTGATAAGGAAATCGGTACAGAGAGATGTGGTGTTTGCTTGTTTTTTGTTTGTTATTCAAAGGCAAAAGTCTTGCTTTTTAAAACCATGCGGTCGCAACCTGCACTTGGTTTAATTCCAAAGGGCAGTAGGGAGTGGTGGAGACTATGGCAGACTGACCGAAGAGCCTCTGTCCGGTCTGAAGGCAGCAGTCACGGCCCCACTGCAGCAGATCCAGATGACTCAGAATGCACACCGGTGTGGACGGACGGCCATACATTTCAAAAGAAGATGAAAGTTCAAGTTTTTATGAGCAGTTTCTTAGTCTGTAAATACTGCCTTATTTTTTTTTATACATGGATTAAATAAAACACGTGCTAGACTCAGGGCAACAACCGTCCGCACAGAAAGATGATTTCGAGTGGTTTTTTCTCGCTCTTAGAACTCTGGGATTTTGATGCTCCTTTGCAATCCCGTGAGGCCTGGTCTACACAAAATGCAGCATGGAGCACATCACCCTACCGCGCTGTGCCCCCCGTACCACCCCAGGCCCCGCTTCTGACGCGCGCTGAGCAGCTGCTATGTACTGGTCAGAGTCCAGTCCTTTCACAAGTGTGAGCTCACTGAATTTTCACAAGAACCATTTGAAATGTCTCCATTTTACAAAAGAGGAAACTGAGGTACAGAGCTGTTAGATTGCCTGCCCAGAGTCACACATCACCAGTGTTGGGTCCCTCAAGTGCCTTGGCACCCTTTAGGCAGGCAGAGTAGGTCTCCACAAAGATGGAGTGCAGGAACTTTGTCAGGAGGTGCAGTGTGTCATTGTCCGAGGAGAGGCACAGAGAGGTTGACATAGTACACAGCCCTGTTGTAACGGTGTCCACAATCAGCTCTCTTCACCCCTTTACTCTTCCCATCTTCGTGGAGAGCCCTGCCTGAGCTGTGTAGCTTCCGAACCCAGCTCCATCTCTTCTAATGATGCCCTAAGCTCAGTTATTGATCTCTTAGCCTATATTTAAAGCAGTACGGTCTGATACCCAAGTAATTTCTATTCCAAGTGATCTAATTGAAAATCAAAATGACTTTTTCCTTAAATAGTTCCTTAAAAGTAGTCTCAGATGTGATTAAGCGGTGATGCTTGGGGAAAGGGCACCTTTCTAGTCATCCTAAAATCTGCCACTCATCAAATATATATCCAGATTCCTTTATGTACACAGAAGACATGTGACGTAGGCTGGGGCCCTCCTCATTGAAGCCCAAGTCATGCCTAGCAGAGATATTACTTTATTTCATAAATTAGAATTTTTTTAATTGAAGTATAGTTGATTTACAATGTACACGTGTAGTACACAATGTAGTTTCGCGTGTACAGCAAAGTGAGTATATATATGTATATACGTGTATATATATACATATATATACGTGTATATATAACTTCTTTTTCAGATTCCTTTTCCTTATAGGTTATTACAAAATATTGAGTATAGTTCCCTGTGCTATACAGTAGCTCCTTGTTGGTTATCTATTTTTTATATAGTAGTGTGTATATGTTAATCCTAAACTCCTAATTTACCCCTCTCCTCCCCTTCCCTCTTTGGTAACCATAAGTTTTTTTTCTATGTCTATGGGTCTTTTTCTGTTTTGTATATAAGTTCATTTGTATCATTCGTTTTTAGATTCCACATATAAGTGATTTTATATGATATTTGTCTTTCTCTGTCTGACATACTTCACATAATCTCTAGATCCATCCATGTTGCTGCAAATGGCATTATTTCATTCTTTTTTATGACTCTGTAGTATTCCATTGTGTACATGTACCACATCTTCTTTAACCTTTATCCATTTATCTGTTGCTGGACATCTAGGTTGCTTCCATGTCTTGGCTATTGTAAATAGTGCTGCTGTGAACATTGGGGTGCATGTATCTTTTCAAATTATGGTTTTCAAATTATATACCCAGGAGTGGAATTAATGGATCATATGGTAGTTCTGTTTTTAGTTTAAGGAACCTCCATACTGTTCTCCATAGTGGCTGCACCAATTTACATTCCCACCAGCAGTGTAGGAGGGTTCCTTTTCCTCCACACCCTCTCCAGCGTTTATTATTTGTAGGTTTTTTGATGATGGCTGTTCTGACCGGTGTGAGGTGATACCTCACTGTAGTTTTGATTTGCATTTCTCTAATAATTAGTGATGTTGAGCATCTTTTCACGTGGCTTTTGGCCATCTGGATGTCTTCTCTGGAGAGATGTCTATAAATGATCATTCTTATCAGGCATAGGATTTTTCTTTCTACTTTTAACTTCACCTTCTTTCCCTGTAATGACTTAAGTGTACCTTAGGCAAATTCAAAAATGTAAGTGCACTCGAAAGAAAAGTTGGGGTTGAAAAATTAAATAATCACAAAAGATACCTCTCTAAGAAAGCTTTTTAAAATAACAATATTCCTACTATATTTAAAGTGTGAGTTTCCAAGCTTCTAATATAATAGCATTTTTTTTTTCTTGAGCATATGTAAATGCAAGACAAAGCTGCCATCTGTGGCTCTCAGGAGCTGCAAAGTTCCTGACTCTGTTTCCTGGCTGAGTATCAGAGTCACCTTAGGAAACCTTAATAGATTCAGCTCTCCAGGCACCTTCTTTTATCTTCAGACTTACAATGACCTGTCTTGTTTGGCTGTTTCTGAGTTTGATGGGTCATTTTGATTCCTCTGGTCCACAGATGTGCTGGAGACTAGTGAGGTATTTCAAAACGTATCCAGTCCACCACCCCTGTTTCCTCGTTTTGCGAAGGAGAAAACGGAGCTGAAGTTCAGCGCGTGCTATATGCATTTCTACTGCATCCGTATCTGTACTGATTCTTTCATTCACAATACTTATTTCAGTAAGTGCCTTGGCAGTTAATTAGCCGAGAGATCTGAACTCTTGAGAACTCTACAGAGAGCTTGACTGTAATTCATACAGATTATTCCGGAAAGTGTTTGTTTCTCTTTTTTTACCTAAACAAACTGTGGCGAACAAATGCGAATCAATAGGTCAGCAGTGAGTACATTCCCTGAGTGCGCACCAGTTGGGAAAAATGATCCAAAACTCTGAGTGTTGAGAGAGTGGCTAAGCCTTTACACGGGTATTTATAAAGTTCTGATACACGATGGGACGGGAAATACTTTTATTGAGTGCTCTTATTTACGTGGCCTGTAATCTGAGGAAGTCTCAAGTGCCTTTGATTCTGCTTGAAGAAATTTGGCCTTCTCTCTGAATTGCTGTGAACTTTGAATTGCTGCTGAAGTGGGTAATGGTAATAAAGGGAGTATTTTTATTGTGTGTTAAGTTTTAAAGGACTGAAACTGTTCCTCAAGGAAGCGGTTTTCTTCCTTCCTCATTCTGTTTAGTTTTAAGCAACATCCTGTCTTCATATAATAAGTTTAGATAAAGGAAGCAGGATTTCTTAAAGCCAAAGTGATGAGATTCAGTGCAGCCAAAATCATTGTCCTTCATAAAATATTCCTTTTCTCTTTGAAAGTATTCTATAAGATGAATGTATGATTTTACACCCTACAGAAATACTTTCCAGAAGTTTTCAGAACAATCTCTGTTAGCACGCTGACCGAGGACAGGGTTCACCTCTGTAATTCCAAAGTCATACAAAATACTTTGAAAGGAATAGAGGAGTTTCAAATATCACTCAGAGTTTAAATAGTTACCTACATTCTTCTTGGAAATTTTAAATTCCTGGCTTAATACGTTCTGACCCTTCTTTCTCATTCTCAATTTCTGCCTACATTCTGTGTGCAGACACGAATACGTTTCCTGTTAGATATTTTGACCCAGAGCTGAACTCTTATCAAATAAAAGCAGAATGTGGTCCCTCTATTAAAGCGTATGTAACCTACGAATAACATGGTGCCCCGAAAACTCACCTTCTCTTCATACAGGTGAGCTGCTTATTGTCAATGAACATGAGCTGCTTTCTTCAGCTCATCTCAGCAGAGGGCCCGGCTTTGTTTTGGAAACCCCAGACGGTGTCTCAGGTCAGGAGGTTGTATGGGTAGAAATCAAAGAACGTTGCCCTTTCGTAATTGTGTCGCTTGGGCAAATAGTTTGGGCACGTCAGATCATTAACCAGGCATATCAGTTATTTCTTCCTCTTAGGAAACAAATGAATTTCAGCAGGGCAAGATCACAATGATATGAATCCTTGAACTTTGATCCTATTTTCTTAACTCACATGAGGCTACAAAACTAAATTTTATTTTTTTTAGGGCTTAGCTTATCAATGTTTTATGAGATGGAGATAAAATTGTGTGTGTGGGGAAAATGGACAGTGTTGGAATTAGGAAATAATTAAGAAAGAAGTTGAAAGTGCCTGCTAGGAAAAAAAAAAATCTTTCATTGCTGAGATCTCTCTTATACTGTAACCTTTCAGCTGTGTTGTCCTTACTGATTTTGCATGCACAAGCTAACACAGCATGGCAAGAAGAATCACCAGGTGTGGGGTGAGAGGCAAATGGTCAGGGTAGGGGTCTGCTGTCTGGGTTGAAGCCAATGTAGGGTTCAGGTGTTCACTGGCCTGATAGGCACATCTGAAGGGGCAGGACCACAGCCCTTGCAGGCTTAGAATCTTGTACTTGAGCCTGACAACAGCTTCCAGGCTTGGGAAAAGTAGCCACCTGCCAAGAAAGGACCTTCCTCAGAACTCAACTATAAGACGAGGGTTAGACGATGATCAGGTTCTCAACCCACCTGTGCCCCAGCCCAGACCAATTCCACAGAGTCTCCAGCAGCTGAGCCTGGGCCCTGGTGAGTTTCAACATTTCCCCAGGTGATTCTAATATGTCACTAGGCTTGTGAATCGGTCAACACCTTGATCGGGAAGCTCTTTTCTAGCCAGCTCAACTCTGTGAGGAGTGCAGGGAAAAGATTCATAAGGAAGTGTGACTTACAGGGTGAAGGGGAGCTGGAAGGTCAGTGGAGATTCAAGGTCTGTTTTTCTTCCCGCTAAGACTTCTGCTGTTGCCTGGAAGGAGAGGTTAACTAATCTAGTTTGCATAAGGTTTATGCCAGCTGTGCCAGGGTCCAAAGATGGAGGATTTGCAGTCCCCCATGCACTGGGCTGTGTAAACACCTCACGCTCGGGAAGGATGGAGACAGGGACTGAATACGCGTTGTCCCATGCCCGTCCCCCATGCCCGTCTGTTGGCCACTTATTCAAATATAGATGCCAGCAGTGCTCAGTTTTTCTTCTTGGCCCTGTGGAAAAGCTAATTCAGATTAATAAAGGGAAGAAGGAATCTGAGAAAAGGAACATCGTAGACCATTAAAAAGAACGCCGTGAGCTCTCGGTGGCCCCTCTCCTTCCAGAGACCCCACGTATAAGGGATTGTGGCTGGAGAATGCGTAAAGGCGAATTTAAGTAAGAAAACGTTTCAGAGTCAGAGAGACCTGGGAGCGGGTCCCATGTTTCTCACTCAATTAGCTTTTGTCATCTCGGGTAACTTAATCGACTTGAGGCTCACTTTTCTCTTCTCTGTAATGGGTAGAATAAGGCTAAACGGAAAGGTTGCTGTTTTCAAAGTGTGTCACTAGACATGATTTCATCTAACAGTTGGAGATAGTGTATGATAACGTGGATAACACATGTTAAGTATTCAACAAACAGTAGCTATTA